TATTATTTATTAGCAGTCGTTAGCGATATATGACTAAGATGATTTCTGAAATTTACTTACATATAACTTCTTAACCACAAGCTTTCTAAATTCTATAAGAAAAATAACAAATAATTAGAAAAATTCATTAAATATTTATACTATTTATATAGTATACCTATAAAATTGGAAAAATGATAATGTACCATCTCTTAAAAATTATACATATAAGACACGATTGTTTGGTGAAATGCATATAATGTAAACTAAATACGGAAGTTGAAAAATAATAAATCTCGTAACGCAGTGTTTAGTTTTTCTTTGGTCTGAAGTTATTGACGTAAATTAACCCCCCCCCCCCCACCTCAATTACATGGCTCATAGAAATATTGATTTATTTACTTAAAACTATCAAATATTGATATTAATAATGTTTCATTTGATGCCTACATTTATGTCCCCGCGCGCGCGCGAACACACACGCACACACGCGCATCCACCCAACTACACACACACACGCACGCACGCACGCACGCACGCACGCACATATATATATATATATATATATATATGTATATACACACATGCATACAGATATACGTGTATATAAGCTTTTTCATTTTTTAATAATCCAAGTAATTGTTTAATATAAATGAATTTTAGTACAATTTGTAATCATCAAATTATTACGAATAAAGTATATTATTTGGAAGATATCTTTGATTTTCTAACATTAAATGTAATCGTTATAAGTACCACTTCTGAAAGTATATAAAATAAAAAATCCATAAAAATTATTGTTAATAGTAACTAACTATTACTTATTTATCTTTATTATTTCTTTAATATGTATATGTCTCAGATTTCATAAATAATAAAGTGTAGTGTAGTAAAAGAAGTATAGTGAAGTATAAAATTCTTGCTTGTTAAATTAAAATCACGTCTTTCAATAGTAATTAATTGAAAATAATATTTATCATTGAAATCACAACCAATTCATCTAAATATCTATTAATTATTTGTTAAATAACGAATATATATTGTGACTACTAATATTAAATGAAATTATGAATTTTTACATTGCAGTGAAAGAGCTAAAGTTTGTAAATAATAAAAATATCTATTGTTATACTTAAATAATCTTAAACAATAATTAAAGTGTTGTAAAAATGTTTATTTTATGACTTTGTACAATTTATATATTAAACAAGAATAATAAAAAAAAATTTACAACAATAATGTAATAAATTTCAAGATTCTTGTTAATCGATGTAAATTTTAATTTCAATTTAAATTTAATTCAGAAAATTTTTAATTAGTATCTTTTGTTATTATTAAAGGGCGGATATAATATATTGCAAAAAAGATGAATAATGTAAATTTAATGATACGAGAAGCTTTCGCAAGCATACAGAATTTGAATACAATTTGAGATGGATTTTCAGTTTTAATTCGATAAATTTTTAATTAACTATAACAATACATCATTAGGAAGGAACGAATCCTTCAGAATTGCAATGGTTATTTGAATGGAAACGTGAATTCCATATTTAAGTGATTCGTAAAATTAGTGTATGATGTCTTTTATTCATAAATAAATATATACAAATCAACAATTTGGTTTATAACAGTTAAAGAGAATATGTTTTTATAATTATAAAAATGAATGTATAAAAATTTTAATCGCTAAGCTTTACATTTAAAATATAATAGAGAAATATCTTCAGCGACAAATGGCAAATACATTTGAAGAATATTTTTTAAAAGTCATAATGGAATATTAAGGACGAATAGAATAAAACCGAATTGAAATTGAAAAATATTCTTTTTTTTTTCTTATGAGTATTTTTTAAATTTATATTTAAGTATTTTTTACGTTATAACTTCCGACAGCGTAAAATATTAATTATCCTAGAGTAACATAATTACTATTCTCATCGTCATTTATACATGTTTTCTTAATATTTTTTAATCCATAATATAGATGCAATAGCTGAATTTCTAATGCTCGTTGAACATATTTCCATGAATTATTATTAAGCATTATTTTTATTTCAATTTTTCGGTATATCAATGTCGAATTGATTATCACGCGGATATGCTTGTATAGCGATTTGGGGGCTTATCATGAAATAACCTGGTTACGTTCGCAATCGAGAAAGAGAACAGGAAAAGGAGGATTGAAAACGATAGCTTACTGCTTGATAAAGTCGTACTTAAGTTATAATAAGGCTCCGATGATGGTGTATGGCTAGTATCAATTTAATTCGTAATAAACGTAAAATCGCATTACTTGGAGTTGATAATTTGTTTTCTTTCATTTATGCACTCCTTAAACTAATGATTAGATTAGCAGATTCTTCCGATTACTCAAAGTGCTATTTTTCACAAATTTTTTCATTAAATTTTTATACGTAAATATTTAATGGATAATTATTAAAAACCTCGGGTTCTCGATCAAATCAATAGAGGTATTGGAAATTTCATAAACAATTAGCATTTACCAATATCGAATTCACCTTATTTATTTCCTATTAATGTTAAACTTATTCTGTATAAAACCATACTAAATAACATTTATCGGGATTATTAAAAAAAAAAAAAAAAAAAAAAACAAAAAAAAAAAAAAAAAGGATCATAATTAATGAAAATCTCATGAAAAATACAATTTCAAGATCATTAAACTAGTTTTTGCTGCAAATGATCACGTGTACATTATCATGAAAAATCAAAGCATTCAAATTGGCAAAAAATTTATTATTTATATATTCGCTGTACTAATTAAGCTAATCAATCGTATAATTGAATAATTAAATACGATATTTATAGATTAATGCGGTGAAGAAATTTTTCAATTTTTCATTATTCATATAAAAATGACAATTTTGCGGACAAATTTTTTCATTGCAAAGTATACGATTAAATATTGCTATTGTTTGAACATTAATTATATTCAAAATATAGCTTTATAATATTCATCTTTTAATAATCTCAATTACAAATAGAATTCTATATAATGATTGTGCTTGTCTCGGAGTTTATCAATTCAAATTCATATTTTCTTTTTTTTTTTTTTTTTTTGTTTTTTTGTTTCAAATAATAGAATCTATTGAACTGGGTTAAATAAACGCGCAAAAAGTATTTACAATTTTTATGATATAATATTCGGCATACTCTGACATAATATGTATTCATCCGAATTTATTTAAACTGCTGAAATAACTTTAGAGGCCTGAATTTTTCTCGAAGGTGGATCAGCGGCAGTGAGTTAATTGCAATCTCATGTATAATCTTGATTCTCTCTTATCTTTTTTTCGAGCAAGCCAGTCGACTTTAAATACAATCACTCGACGCATACGATTAAGTATCAAGGAGTGGAACCGCATTATATGCACGGAAAAAGGACAAATATAGTTCAATATAAAGAGAAAAATGGAACAAGAAACTCAACATTGGCTTACCCTTTATTCCACTTGAAAAGTCATATGATAAATTGAACCTCATACTGTTCAATCATATTTACCGTTTCAATTTACTTTATTTCGAATAAGATCTTTATTATTCTTGAAATAATATATAAACTTAATGATAATATATTAAACGACATTTAATAATAATTTACATATCCTTAGAATTTGCATTAATGCATTTTTACATGCATTAGGTAAAATGTCGCATTAATTTTATTATATTTGCGTACATTAAATGTACACTAATTTTCGTAATATATTGCCGTGATTTCTTTATCAATAAATTATATATTTATATAACATTTTATTAAATTTTTGCATTTGACTCGACATATGTATTCACATGCATAAATATATAATATCCATTGATATTATATAGTTCAATTTTTAAATCATAAATTATTCAATATAAAATATTATTTGACCCTTTCTGTTATAAGGAAAAAAAAAATTATTATATTGTCTGTCTTTATGTAAAAGATAAAGTCAAATTAAACATTTGCAAAATATGTGTCGAAGAAATAAAATAAGACTACAAATAATAATTAAATAAATAATATTTGTTAATAATTATTCGATTATTAGTTATTTTTATTGATGTATGTTTGAAGAATGAATTGATGCCGATATATTTATAATTAATATATTTAGAAATGCCTTAATAAATGAAGTTAATATGAAAATTTTGTATGTAGTGCACGAAAGGAATTAATATTTTTCTTATAATAAAAAAGTCTAAAGAATACCCCTTAACGAAGATTAATTTCGTGCTCGATATTTTATCGAACGCTGATTTAATATCAATTAAAAAGATTAATACGATACTTTAATACCTTCAAAGTATGAAAAAGTTTATAAAATGTCATATTGTAGCTACTCTCTCTCTCTCTCTCTCTCTCTCTCTCTATATATATATATATATATATATATAATATATATCTGTGACTCTGTGTATAGGTGCGCGCGCGTGTGTGTGTGTGCAAGTGCATGGACTGCGAGTGTGTCTGTATGAAATAAAACTTACGGCTTGAAGTGTGAGAGATGTTTGTTTATTCAATCTCGATTTCATCACAGATCCATTTTTCTTTTTTTTTTTTATTATCAACAATATCACACGTAAAACGAAGCGTATTAATTACACTAGTTATTAATTAATAATAATAAGATTTACTGGATATTTTATTAAATATGAATAAATTCCTTGACACGACACCTAAGAATTAATTAAAAATATACTATAAGAAGTAACATAAATATATCTTTTGTATTTTGTCGAGTCCATCATTGCATTGCAACTGATAGCTGTTATTTCTTAATTCAGCAATAGTTCAGCAATACAAGATGTAGTCTTTTGTCCACGATAATTATTACATTGATCGTAAAAGTTTATATTATAAGAGAGGCTCTTAAACCAAATGTTATGGTGTACCGATAAAGTAGGAATCTATGCCATTATAAAATACATTGATAACTACTATGGATAACTATAGCTACCATATTTGTAGGCACTGATCTCATAATTAATCCTCACGGTGTATTTTATCGTTACAGGGCTCAGGATGCGGTGGATCGGTTACGTGGCTGCGATACTCTGGTGGTCGGGTATCGCCAGGTCTCTCAGCTCCATGAATCGAGGTCAGATATATAGTCTTTATACACGCACGCGGGTACTCGCGGCCACACACAAGCACACGCGCTCTCTCACTCACGCGGGTGCACTTGTTCGCACAAGATTTAAGCCTCTTGCGTTTTCTTGCGCAATCGTTGGCTTGGATTCGATTCGACATTGACTTGATCAATTGGAACTAGGAAAATCATCGTCATGATCGATCGTCCGCAAATCGATGATCCGCTTCCAAATATGCCATGAAAATTATTTTTTGATTATCTCAACTTGTTATTAGTAGAATTTTACGTGAGCTCTCGTTACTCTCCTAGTATTAACGTTGTATTACGAATAACAAATAAAACGCGTTTGACGAGTTGGGCGGGGGGAGAGGGTTAAGTTTCTCGAGACGTACAATTTGTAAATATTAAATTTCTTCTAATTATATGTATAAGTTTGAGGCATTGATAAGAAGATTTATTATTAAAAATAGAATAGGGCTAATTAATCGATTCGCGAATAAAAAATATAATTACGTATAATTTAAAAATCGATTTGCTGCCAAGAGGAGAAAGAAATTTCGTGAAACGTTGAACATAGCGTTTGAAAGTTTACATGAATTTACGTTTACTCTGCTGGGTAATTGATTTTTTAAAAGTTAATAATTTATCGCATTACCTATAATCGGTGCTACTATTTATTATTTATTGTCGATGATTGGCCAAAATGTCTCTAAAAAGTCAAACTATTTTCTAACCTGAGATTCTCTTGGCTTGTTTTATCCATGTAAATAAAACTTTGATGCTACTTCCATTACCATTCGCAATGTATATTTACGATACTAGATCTACGTGGAATATCTATCGTTAATTACATATATTCGATTTCGGCCATTGTTATAAACAATTAAATATAATTGCGTATTAAATATCAAAAATTTACATTGGCATTAATAATATTGAATCTATTATTAAAATTCATCATTGATAAGAATGAGATTTGATTACAAAAAAAAGAAAAGAAAAAAAAAAAAAAAAAAAAAAAAAAAGCGTACTCGAACGTCACTTGCACTTGTCATGAAGAAATAGTCATGAAATCAATCCTTCGAAAAACGTTTAATAAAGGATTTACCCGTCAAACTACGGATACGTAAAAGTGACATTTTTATTTACGTTTGAGGAGTAATAGCTGCGGCGGATATAAACGATCGAGCAACAATCACTCGCGCACAATTCTCCACATATTAATTAATCTGCACTTAAACGCCATGGTTATCACTCACCGTTAAATGACATTATTAAAATAAATTAAATAAAGTGTCCAGCCTCGATCGACCCACCGGCGGCGGTTTTGTATCGATAAAAACCAGCGCTCGTGCCCCCCCCTTACCCCCACCCCCCGGCCCTGCTCGGCGATATTAACGAGAAAGCCAAGACGAGGACGATAAAGGTTAAGAGTAAAATGCATTATTCGCAGGCTACAAGATAAGTCCGAAGCCGTGTCGAGTGCCGGGCCAGCCGAACGTCGAGGGCACGTGCATGTTCGTGTGGGAGTGCATAAAGTCCGAGGGCACGCATGTGGGTGTGTGCGTGGACACGTTCATGTTCGGCAGCTGTTGTATCCACAACGCGACGTCGAACAGCGTCGGTAGTGGAGCGACGACGCACCCGGGCGGACCCGCGACGACGACGACGACAAAGACGACGACCAAGACGACGACTGCGAGGACGGGAACGTCGGCGGCCGGGTCCGCCCCCACTAGTCACGTGACGGCTTTGCAAGTCGTCTCTCAAGGTTTGTTCTCTCGGTCCTTCGGCGACTATGTCAAACGATCGCCTCCTTCCTATCCCTAACGAAGGGGCTCTCCTTAACCCAATTAAGGAGTGCTGTCGCGGCAGGATCAATTCCCGTCCGATCAATGCGTCCATGTTTCTTCCGTAACGTGGCGCGCGCGAACGATTTAACGCAAAAAACTTATAAATCCCAGAAGAAACAAAGGTCTTTAATGGTGGATATCCAACCCATCCATCGATTATTCGAAATTCATTATTACCGGACACTAAACTCCAACTGTTCGCAAATTATTATTCCATCGACACATAATCACCTCCCTCCCGTCAACCACCCATCCTCTATAACCCTGTTAGCTAACAGGGCTGTTAGCTAACATATATACCCCCTCACCCTCACCCTCCCCCCTCCGCCCCAATCCCAACCCCCTCTCCAACGCCCTCACCCACCCGCTCCTGTCAAATTTACGTTATTTAAGTTATTAATAAGATTTGCTCCAAGTAGGTGTTCGTAAATTCTCTTAAATATACTCGACATAGTTGCGCCATATGTGTAACAATTATTGAGAAGCTTTGCGAAATAAAATTTCGAAACGAGTCCATTTTTAAATGAACACTCGATAATCATGTGCACGATGGGAAAAGAACATTTTAATCCGATCGCTCCCAATGGTTTCTTAAACTTTTTACATACGACTATTTACTAAATAAAACCGTTTTCTTAATTAATATTTTCTCTGTCTTAAATTGAAAAAGAAAAAAACAGGATAGACAGCTTCCTTCAAATTACTCGAATTTTCCTGAATCATTCTCTTCTGCATATAAGATATCGGCAAAATTTTTCGATTTCGCTACGCTAAAAGGACCTCTTAATGTTAGCTTTACTTTTTACGGCGACGTTCGCACATTTCATGTTTCTATCCTTACCTTTTTATATTATATTCTATGATTCGTAATAATTGTTCTCTGACACGGAATAAATAATTTAAACATTTTATGAAAAAATTATCCAAGCTTCGATCTAATTAAGCTTAAGATACAGTATTTAAAGAATAATCCTTTTATTAAAAAATAATAATAATAATAATAATAATAATAATAATAATAATAATAATAATAATAATAATGATAGAGTCCGATTACAATTTGATTAAACGCAAAATATTAATTTTATTATAAATTCGAGCATATGAATAATCGTGGATTACGTTTATAATTACTTGGAGAGCATAGGCAATAAAATTACGTCATCATAAATTGTCTCACCTGTATTATGCGCAACGTGAACATTAATTAAAATATTATTTTAATTATTAACGTAAGTAATAAATAATAATTAATTAAATCTAAAATACATCACCATTTTCCGAACAAAATGGCAAAAAAAAAAGATGCATCAGCCGGGAATCGAACCCGGGCCGCCCGCGTGGCAGGCGAGCATTCTACCACTGAACCACTGATGCTTCACGTTTCATTTAAACTTCGATTAGTACAAAAGTGATTTTTAAGACTATAAATTTCATAAATATTGAATACCAATTGTCAGGAAACATTGATTGTTCAAATATTTTGATAATCGTTATTGTCGAACATTGTTAAAACAAACAAAATACATATATATACTTTTTTATAATAAATTCATATCCTACCTAATAATGAATTGATCGATTCTCAAATTAAATAATTAATAATAATGACTATTAATCAAATGGATAAATATGAAATTATTTAATAAATAATACTAAAACGTTTCTTATATCTTATTTCGGATTTTAATTCGTATTCGCATAAGCATTGTCGTTCGATTTGAATTATATCGTTGCTTGAAAGGAGATAAAACTATACTTACTTAGAGACTGCTAATAAAGATTTTCTATTGGCTATTGTCTGATTGAACGTAACGCCATTAAAAATTTCAGAGATTATTAGAAATTTAACTTTGAATTATTCGAGTGAAGAGTAATTGTATAAGGCAAATCGTTTAATCGCATATCGTTTCTTCAATTTTCTTATATACGACTGCAGAGACATTAGAAAAATGTACATAAATAACCTTATGAAATTCGTAACAACGTAAAATGCATTATTACGAGAAAATTATGATAAATGTTATTGCTGATGAATAAGGTGTGCATTCCTCGAGATTATTTATGCGCATAATTATTTTTCATAGCTCCGAGTAAATATAATTAATTTTTACATATAATCAATATACAATAATGTAATATAATGTAAATTAATCCGCATCTTACCAATAAATAGCAATTTCATGTACATAGAAAGTTTTAAGGACTTGTAATTAAAATACAAGTCGCATCTGCTTTATTTTATAATACATGCACTTTATAATGGCAAATTGTTGCTCGGAATAATTTAGCTGAGGATGAGTGAGCAATATAGTTTGATAGGCGTAGAATTGCATTTTAAATTTAGCGAATACCAGTCACTGATGAAGAAATGAAATTTTTTCACATTATAAAATTAATTCCCTTGGCTCCCGCGACACACAGTTCATCATACGGCATTGGGGACGACGAGGCAACCGACAAAGCCATTATCCCCTTCAGCTGCGTCGCGTCCACTTTTACAAAAGAGGCCCCACTTGAAACCAAATAGTGGGATGAATCAGGATTACCACAAGCAGCACAACGGCAATAGCAGCAGCTCGCAAATTACGCGGAAACCCCAAAGCGGAATCGGTTCCACCTATGAGAAGCGACCCGAGGAGGACCGACACCATGGCAGCAATAGCCACCACCACCATCACCATCATCACGCTCACAATCATCATCATCAGCAGCAGCAGCAGCAGCAGCAGCAGCAGCATCACTCGGTAAGATAGCTTTACATTGAGCACATTTGCAATATTGTTGAATTATCTTACCGCTTCTCTGGCGCTACAAAAGCAAAATGTCGATTTTATGCACAAGAATTACAATTGAACGTATTAAACTTTTAAAATACATATTTAGACGAAGAGGAGGGCATAAGCGCACATATTTAACGTACTAGAGACACATTTTTTTTCCATCGATATCAAAATCTTGTAAATTTCAATTTCACTTTCGCACCCTTTATTCTCATTTTTATATACAAATTTTTCCATAAATGCTCAATTACAATGGTAAAAGATTTTTCTTTATTAAAGGATTTCTACTTAACGGCTGTTACGCTCGCGTCGATTGGACAGAGCAGTTTCTAATTTTCTCCCCCAACCCAATTACAATTTAAGCTACGATCACGTCCTATGAGAGATAATAATACGCATAATATAATAATAAGCATTCCTTGATTTAAAAACAGAACAATGAAAGCAAAAAAAAAAAAAGAGAAAAAAAAAAACAAGAAGACTGAGAGAAAAAGGTGTGCTTTTAATAATAGGCAACTTGTGTCAAGGCCGTGAATTACTACCGTAAAAGCGCATTTTCTATTAAATATTAATGTATATGACCGTGGAAAGAGTAGCGAAAGGAGAAACCGATGAAAAGCAACGAATAACGTATTTTGTCGCCAATCTCTCAAAGTCATCCACGTAATTTGTTCAGGGCTTCAAGGACAAAGTGTCAAGCTCGCACAACACACTGCTAGTGAGACTGCCAAGTAAGAATAGTGTCAATCAACAACAGCAGACCTCGTCGAGCAAAAACCAAGTGCAGCGCCCGAATTACAGGCCGGGGCACAGACCGAAGCCCTTTCCGGAATCTCGACCGGAGGAAGACAGCAAAACCGACGAGCAGGAGCAAGATCTCCATGTGCAGGAGAGCGTTCATCGACCAAGCATCAACTCGGTTGACGACCACGTGAGCCACAACATTCCGGATTTGCATTATCCGCTTTATAGACTTTTTTCAGCTCGTTGTTTCTTAATGTACCTTTCTAGCGCGAAAAATGTCCCTTTTCTACAAATAAATTTCTACATATATAATATAAATATACATTATTAATAAGAGTACATGAGACAAACGCGAGTTCCTTAACATATGATTACCACTAACATTAGACTTTTAATAATCATATGAATTATTGATCTTAAACTGTCCATGCCGTGAAAGTGGATGCTATTTATACAAAACTTTTCCAAAATTAATGATAAAATATTATCGCAGTTCGTCAAATTCGATTAAATAATTTTCATACAAATTTAACATATAAAAAGCTGACAAGAACAAAGTCACTCTTGTATGAACAACGTCAGGCATTCTTCGTCAGGCAGAGAAAAAGAAGAACAAAATCCTAAGATGCTTATGACCTGTAGAAAGTGCATTCGTTAAACTCCTGCGTGTAACATGTTGCCAGGATGTTACGGACAAGCTGAAGCATCCCGGGCTGAACATAATACACACGGTGAGGCCCCAGTGGGCGACGAAACCGGCCACCTTCATTGGCCGGCCCACGGCTTCCGAGTACCCCAAGCCGTACTTCTCGGTGAAGACGACGCAGACGAGCTCGAGCACGACGACGAAGCGCCCGCACTCCTCGAGGCCCGGTCTAGCCAAACCCACGACGTCGGCTGCTTCCGTTTCCTACTACAGTGGCCATTCAAACAGGTATGCCTCCCACCCCCTTGCAACTCCCACAGGCGATCTATGGATTTTGTAATGACGATTGCACTTATACGGTGGCTCAAGCCACGGTGTGGCGTTATCGCGAAACATTTTACATGAAACCGGGGCAACTCGATTATCATTTTGTATTGCACGGACGTGATTGAGCTTGCGCTTCAGTCGGTGACAATTTTACTTCCAAAAGTAATAGCACACGATACTTTTAACTATGATTGCAATAATATTAACATATTCAATGAATAATGTGATTGATATGATATTAATGTCGTTGGTGGAGCGGTGAATGTTTGTGCGAAAACATAAATTTGCATGGTATTTTAAATGAAGCCGAAGCCATCAAATTCATCAAATTGCACGGACAATCGATTCTAAATACGATTAGTTTTTCATTTATATGAAAACTTTGAGAAATTGTAGACCGAAACTTATTATATTTAAAATACTGTGAAAAAAATCAATTGACTAATCGTTAAATGCTAGTTATTTCAATAGAATTTCTTTCCATCGTTAGCTTCAACGTAAACCACGTACGTAAAACGTAAATGTTTAACGAAATTACGTAGGCCAATAGACACTGTTATTTTATATATTTTCGTAAAAGCTTTATTCTTTCATTCGTTATCGTAATGCCAATTACCGTATCCAACGATTTGAATTCATAATTATTGGAAATTTCAATCGAAGCATTGTCAAATGTTATGCCATCACTAGTAAAACTTTCTCCCAAATACATATAGAAATAAATAAATAGATCTTTAGTTTTTTAATAATACGAAATTTATTAATACACATATAATCAAATTGTACTCTAATTAACGATTAAAGATTTAAACATTTAAAGAAGACAAAATTTCATTATTTTAAATTTGATATAAAATAAAATAATCTTATGATATACAATAAATTTACTTAGAAAGACAGTAATAAATAAAATATGAAATAAAAATAAAACTAAAAGAAAATTTATGCTCTTGTTTTATCTTCTTGTTTTTTTTTTTTTTTTTTTTTTTTTTTTTTTTTTTTTCTACGAATCTGCACAAAATTAAATGAAAACTTCTCACGAAGCCAAGATTTTATGACAACTGTTTTAAAACTAAATGCTTGTTCAGCTTAAGCTAGAAACTAATAAGAAACGCAAAAGAAAGAGGAAAAATAATGCTGATGCAGAGTAAGTGTACTTTGAAAATAAAAACTAAAAATGAAATAGAGAAATAGAGAAATAGAAAAAGTAGAAACTCGCATTATAAAAAAGAGGAAGTCGATTATCTTAATACTATCTAATATATACATAGAGATTGATAAACAATTGTGCACATTATTTAAGTAAATTACAGATATTTACCAAATTTAAGTTCAGTGTCAATCATTTTCACTTTAAAGCACATTTATTTAGTTTCTTTATTTAATTTCACTAATTGTACTGCCATCATCGTGTTTTTAGAATATATCAATATGGCTTTAATCATCGGCACCAATTTTTAAATTTTATTTAATATTTAAATATCCAACTTTAACTAATTAAAACATTTGGTAAAATTTAACCGTGTAATAGTTCATTTTTACATAAAAGATCCTAGAATGCATAGCCACATGTGAATTATTATTGTCGATTTATCAAATTATTATTAACTTTCTACTTTAATTATTCTATTAATCTTGCTAAGTAACAGCGATGTAAAGTATTGGATACGAACCACAATTTTTGAAATAATTAAGTCGACGTGCACATTAAAAATAGATCATACACAATTTTGGCAGCATGACATAATTACACATTGATTACAAAATGTGCAATAGTGTGTCGTGTAATAATCAAGTTGCTTACATTCATGCTTACCAATTAATTCACTGAAAACTAAAATTCTCCAACTTTATCGAGACGGGAGATACTAATGAGAGAGAGAGAGAGAGAGAGAGAGAGAGAGAGAGA